GCTAGTGACTTTTCTTACCACTGTGACCAGTATCTGAGAGAAACACGGGGGAGGGAGGGGTCTGCTCTGGCTCATAGTTTCAGAGTGTCAGTCAAGCATGGCTGGGGTGAGGACATGGCAAAGAACAGCTCACATCACGGTCATCAGGAGGCAGAGAAAAGGGGCATAGATAGGAAGGAGCCAGGGCAAGATATATTCGCAGGGACATGCCCCTAGTCACCCACTCTCTGCACCTGCTACTCTGTGCCATCGCCCAGTAATGCCATCATATTAGGAATCCATCAAAGGATCAATGAATTCAAGAGGTCAGCACCTTCAGGGTCTGATTGTCTCTAGAGTGTCCCTCAGAGGCCTATGCAGAGGTATGTGTTACTAATCCCATTAGCATTTCTTAATCCAAGCTGACCGTCAAAGTTAACCATCACAGGACCCAAGGAGTGTGAAGATCACCTTGGCCCCTTAAGAGGGTAGCTCTGCAGCTGGAAAGAAGAGAGTGGAGGCAGGGATGCTGCTGTTGGTCAAGAAGATGTAGAAATGGTTGTGCCCCGAGCTGGAACAGCAGCTTGCTTAGGACATTCTTCTACATACGGTTGTTTCAGAGCACGTGGGGAAGAAGCTGCCTATAGAATCAGGCAGAGAGAAGAAGGAGGTGACTCTGTTCCCTGTGAGTAGACTTTCTTCCTGTCCCCTGTCCCAAGGTGTTCCCAGTATTTAGGTGGAGAGCATGGGCCCTGGAGCTGGGATCACCTCTCTTTGAGGTCTGCCTGCTCTGCTGTGTGAACTTGGAAAGTTGACTTCACACTTCTCTGAGTACTAGTTTGCCTCTGAACCAAATGAAAATAATGATCTTCCAGGGCTCAGTGGTGGCTGTGGCTTGGTCTCCAGGAAGCACTTGGTTTACAGGGAGTGGTGGTGGATGTTGGTACTTCTGCCGTAGCCTCTGCCTGGACTAGAAAGAGAATGCATTTGCAACACTTACATCACTTTCATGACAGGTGCCGCCACAGGGCTCCTTCCTCCAGGGAGGAAGAGAAGCAAGAGAGAGAGGGACGGAGTGTGTGCAGGGTAAGAGTCTGAGCTGAGCCCCTCATGAGGATAGGGCTCAGATCTCCAGTGGTGTTCTGGCCAACTTGTCCCTCCTGATCCAGATGTGTCCTCATGTTGTCTTAGTTGAGAAACTTCCTTCTGGATTGTTCATCACCAGGTGCCACAATGCCTATTTCCAAGGAAGCATACAACCCCTTGGTTTAGATTATACAGAATGCTGTTTGAGGTCCTGGTGGGTTTTCTAAACTTTTTTGTGCCACTGTGTCTTCATGGCCCAATGGAGACAATCACAGCAGCAGCTGATCAGGGGTAATGTGATTGCAGGTGCTAGCCACATGCCAGCATGTTCCCACATAGCTACGATACCCACACGTGCTGGTGATTCTTCTGTTGACCAGTTTTTCTGTCCTTATGCCCCACCGTGGCTTCTCCAGTCCTGCCTCCAGATCTGTCTCATCTGCCAGGGATGCCAATGCCAGCTTCACCCAGCTTGAAGCCTGCACCAAACTCCCATTTGTTTGGCTTTGACCTTACAACAAGCAAGACTTGGGGGGGGGGGCATGTTCTATATAAGCCACTGGTCTCACATCAATTCCCTTTCATTATAATGTAGCCCTAATGTGTCTGCACAAAGGCCTTGTCTGAACTAGGAAACCCATTCCTCCCCCATCATTGGAAATGGGCCTGGGTCACGTGCTATACTAGAGTCTGGTCAACTATTGCATAAGTCATGCAATAGTTGACCAGCCATGCATCAACATAGCAAGTCCTCTGGGTTCCTTTCACTGGAGGAGGTTTCTAGCAGTGGGCTGGGCAGATAGTCTAGTCTCCAAACATGAAGATACATTGTATGGCCCAGGGGGAAAGATCAACCTTATATTTCACCACTCACCAGAAAGTGACTAGGACAGCTTAATATTTTATAGGTAGCATTTCCTGACTTTTACCTCCCTGCAAATTTACCCATTAAAATAAATGAGATTATTATATATGTATATAACATGTTATATAATCTATATTATGTAGTCTACTTTGAGGCATTATTCCCCTGACCTCCATGTTAGAAATGCAGACCCTCTAATTTGGGGTGGGTGGTGTGAGGGTGGCTGTATAAACACTGATGTGTCTCACCTCTCTATGCAGCCTTCCTGGTCCCTACAATACTCAGGAAGCCCTCCTTTTAGACTCCCATTGATGCTGGAGTATGCTTTCAGTGCAGAGATGGCTGGTGGGTTAAGAACATTTATAACCTTGCTATGTCGATGAATTTTCTCCATACCCTTCTTCCTTCCTTCACACCATCTCCCCTCTCTCCAGCTTGCAGCATCCATAAGGTTGAACAGTTCAGATCTTCTTGCTGGCTTCCCTCTTCCCCTGTACCCAGTCATGTGGTCCCCTTTTCCCATGAACCCTCCAGATGCTACTTAGAGATTCCCCCTGTCAGGGTCTCCACATTATAGGAATCCCCAGACTTCCCTCTACTGCTGCCCCCATTAAATTTTGAGCCAAAGAAAACTAGAGAATTGCATTGTGGAGTTTGGTTTTAAGTTGCTGGCTCCCTTCTGTGGTGATTTGGCTGCTGTCTTTTGGCCCCTTCCCATCCCTGGCCTTGCCAATTCCCTAACTCACCGCACCTCTCTATGGGAAGACGTTGAGGATGAAGAGCAGCCAGCAAGACAAGCAATGGTGAAGGTAGGGTTCTGGGATCTGGGCAAATCTGGTGACAGTGACATGCACTATGACAAAAACATCCTGGTTTGGGTGTCAGGGATCTACATTTTCACTCTGCCTCTGATCCATTGCCCCAGAGGCAGAGTCCCTTGTCCTCCCAGCAGCAGGCAGCAAGGGCAGCCTATTCTGACTTTCTTGGTCAGACACAGTGTCCCTTCCCTGCTCTCTGTTAACGGCTGTGAAATAGGCCTTCTATCAGTGCTTTCCTGTAGCCCAGGAGTCCTGGATATGTGGCCCACACAGCAGCAGAATCTCTCAGGGACTTGGTGTGCTCACCCATAACATGGAAACCAAGGAATGGCAGCGTTGGATGGTTTTATAGATAAAACACAAAAATCAGGTCAAGTCCAAAAACAGAGCCTGGCATTCAGGAAACCCAGGGTGGATGTGCTTATTATCATAGTATTACTGTGGGTCACCTCCTCCTTTCTGTCACTTCAGAAAAAAAAAAAAAAAAAAACAAACAACCTCGACCTGGCTTGAGCCCTTTTCTCTTCTCAACCAAGGAGGAAACTCTTAAGTAGAAGACCTCCAGCTTCAGTACACACACACACACACACACACACACACACACACACACACACACACACACACACACATCACCATGTACAGTACTGCAGGATGTCACCAGTGCAAACAGACCTGCTGCTGCTAGCAGTGGCCATGGCTGATGTGTTACGGCCATTGCCATAGTGTGATGAGTGCAAGAGTCAGAGAGACCTGGGCAGGGAGCCCATGTGGGCTTCAGGAAGAACTCTCGGACCCTGTTTTTCCCTCTAACTGGACTTGTTGTACCTTCGCATGATTGTGCATGTTCATAGCATAGTCGCGAGGTTTGCATGGGCTGTGAAGCTGGGATATGTCCATGTCCGTATCGTATGTGACACAGGTAGGTTCCCTGCAGGTATGTGCCTACCCCATCCTCTGTAACCTTGACTTTACATTGGGGGCTTTTGACTAGCTCCACAGCAGTGTAGCCATGGGAAAGCTTCATTGGTACCCATTCTTCTGTTTCCTGCCCCAAGCACCTTCAGCCTTAGGTTTCGACCAGGCAACTGAGAAACAGGACAAGTCACAAAGAAGGGCCACACACTTCTGAACAGCTTTCTTTCTTTTCTTTTTAATGAAAAGAAATAAGAAAAGCAAACAACACTTCTCTGGGTGTGCTGTGATAAGACACCACAGCCGTAAAGAAACTTACAGAACCAAGAGAGAGCAAGCAGTCCCGGAGGCTGTGCTTACAGCCACCCTGCCCTCCGAGGACAGAGGACCCCTCCCTCCAGGCCATTGTTGTCTGAGACAAGTGTCCACCTCTCTAGGGCTATAAAAAGGGCCGTGCTTATTCTGCTTATTTGGCTTGTTTCTCTTGGAAGCCCGAGTCATATCTTGTTCACTGGTCCATGACACACACACACAAAGGAAGCAGGGATTTACGAGATTTTGCAGGTGGGAGGTACTGGGCTGGGATTTTAGGGGTGCATACCACTCTTCTCACTGACCTCCGGCTCTGCTCAAGTTCTGAGGGAGGACAGGAAAGTGAGACCCTGCATTGCACCTGCTAGAGTTACTGTCCTCGGGGGACACGTCACTGGGCACGCCGCTGCTGCTTCCCCTCTTGAGTAGCCAAGGCAAGAAGAAAAAGGACAGCGGGGACAAGTCATACCCAAGTTGGCGTTAAATTCTGATGGGTAACCAGAAGGCAGTGGGGAGGTATGCATGCGCTTGCCATCACCAGCTTCTTATGCTGACCCTCTCAACTAGTTCCTCCACCACTGCCCCCTTTGAGTCAGTCTTTGAGGGTTGCCCAGACCCTGCTTTGACATCTTTGTCATTTCCATGACCCTGGAAAGGCTGACAACATTCTCAAGCCTTAATTTCATGATCTGTCAAATGGAGGGGGGTCATATGAACCTCAAAGGATGACTGCACATACTGTGACCATGTCATTAAAAAGCCCGTGAACGGACCCAGCACATAGTAAGTGCTCAACAAATGGCCACATCACTGGTCTGCCCACTGTAGTTAACACATCTGTGTAGATTCAGATGAGATCATCGGAAGCATTGGACAGTGTTCTAGAAAGAACACAGATTCTTTCTAGCTTCCTGTGCTGCCTGTGAAGTTTAAAAGTCTCAGATATCTTGGGGGTAGTGGAGGGTCTGGTCTGGAGGACCTCCATTGCTTTCCCCTTAGACAGCTCTGTGGACCAGCAGCTTCTGCCCCTAGACTTCAGTGCCTTCCCTGGGGAAGAGAACACTGTTGGTGTTGATGCTATTGTAGAAATGTGGGCTGAACTGGTTGAGGACAGAGCCTCCATAGCCTAGAGCATTGGTGGGGACCGGGTTGGCCCATTCACCCCCACTCCCGTGGCTACTGAGGTTGGTGAGGGGGGTGTAGGAGTTGAAACTTAGTGAGTTCTGCCCCATCTTGTCAGTCGGCTCCGGGCTCAGTCCTGGTGTGGCCACCGAGCGGCTCATGGGGTTTGTCCCACTCACATAGGCTGTCATGGTGGAGAGGAAGTTGTTGAGGCATGGGGTGCCGGAGGGGGCAGGGGAGGCCCGCTTCTCTGGGGAGCTGGTGGTGTCTGGTGAGGCAGTGTCTAAGACATCCTGAGGCTCCGTGGACTTGGGACTGCCTGCCAGGAGACCGGTCTCCGTTTTCTCTGAAGCCAAGGAGCCTGTGCTAGAAGACGCGTCTGATTTCCTCTTCCTTTTCCTGCGGAAGTTTCCATTGTCGAACATCTTCTCACAGTTGGGGTCCAGAGTCCAGTAATTCCCTTTGCCTGAGACAGAAGTGGGAGATGTGAAGGAAACAGAGAGGTAGACACAAGACCCGGTGCTATTCGTCTGCAACATCCTAAACTAAAATCAGGGGCAACAATGCACAGAAAAGAACAAAGCCTGCCACAGAAATGAAGAAATTCCGTAACATCTGCCCACCCTACCACCTCTCTCTAAACACACCCCACACACCTACCTCTCTCTAAGCGCTCCTCCCACACGCCCATCTCTCTGTGAGCACACTCCCGCAAACACATCTCTTTCTAAATACCCCTTACCTCCCCCACAAGAGGCTCTGGGAGTGCATAGAAATGAGCATAAGTTATGCCTGAAGGAATTGACAGGATTGATCCTTTTAAGAGTAAAGTGTCAGGATGCAGGGATCCAGGGAGGGGTGGGGCACTGGTGGGGGCCTCTATTTATTACTAAGTTCCAGGAAAATCCAGGAAACAGTTCTGGACTCCTGAATATGCATCCTGAAGATGACTTGAGCCTTAGCTTTGCTCCTCAGTGACAATTGACTGGATAAATCTGTTTTCTAGTCTGAAAAATTCCCCTGTCTCCTCAGACTCACTGATGGACAGGACAGACATTACATGTGTCCAAGAGCTGTACAACTGAGGTGCCACCAGAAGGGAAACCCCGACTCTTCCCAGCTACTCTGAGCTGGAAAGTGGGGAAAGACCTTGAATGGGACAGTCTCTCTTCTGAGGGACAAATAGATCTGACGAAGGCTGACTTCAAAGGGGGCAGAGGTAGGGTTCCAAGCCATACCCTGGCTTCCTGTGGGAGAACAAAACTAGACTTCAATTCTGGAAACTGGATCCAGGAATATTTTACACTCCTCTCTGCAAGCATCTGTGGTTCATCATTTGACAGGAACATTCCAGTCCCAGCAATGGAGCTGCGTTTAAGTCAAGTGCCATCACTACCACTCCAAACCCTGTCACTCTGGGAAGGCAGCTTCACCCATGAACACTATTTTCCTCATCTGAGCAATAGGTTCACGAAGAGACACCTTGCAGGGTGCTGCCAGGATTAAAGGAGGTTCTGTATGGAAGGGAGGACAGGCAGAGCCATGTCATAAGGCCATCAATGGTGCCCAACCGAGGCCAGGTCCTCTCTGCTACAGGCCTGGCTGCTGCACACTTGGGTTTGGCTTGATCTAGTTCTACCAAGGACTTCTTACATGCTGGGCACTGAAGCACAGGTGAATTATAATGACTGCAGCATATTGAGCTTTTGTCCACACCAAAGACTGCGCAGAGACAATTTTTTAATAGACATCCTTTGCATCTTTTTTTTTTTTTTTTTTTTTTTTTTTTTTTTTTTTTTTTTTTTTTTTTAGAAAAGGAAACTGAGGCTTGGCAAGCTCAACCTCCCTGAGACAGGGAAGCCTGAATCTGCTTCCAGAGCCCATATTCTCCTCCACGGCAGAGTTCCTTTTTGCCCTGTCTCCTAGCAGCTTCCAGTTTTGTGGATCGAGTGGTGGCTGTAGTTAGAACTTTCTAGAACAGAGTTCGGAGCAGAAATGAAATCAGTCCTTAAGGATCTGCAGCCTTCCCGGGGGTGGTCTCCTACTCCGCATGCACTGCTGTCTTACCTGGGTCGTCCTCATCTCGGGGCACCTTCTTGAAGCAGTCGTTCAGTGACAGGTTGTGGCGGATGGAGTTCTGCCAGCCAGCCTTGCTCTTGTTGTAAAAGGGGAAGTTGTCAGCCACGTACTGGTAGATCTGGCTCAGCGTGAGGCGCTGCTCAGGCGCCCCGTGGATGGCCATGGCTATGAGAGCCGAGTAGGAGTATGGTGGTCGCACCAGCTTCATGAGCTCCTCCTGAGAGGGGATGGGCAGCCAGCCCAGGTCGCTGGGCAGAAGCTGCCTCTGCATGCCATAGGCCTGGGGCAGGAAGGGACTGGCGTTAGTACCAGGCAGGTAGGGCGGTGGGGTCATGGCTGGCCCATTGAGCCAGAGATAGGGGTTAGGGGTAGCCCCATACTCTCCACCACCCTCGAAGGAGGGGGCGCGCTGAGGGCTGGGCATGCCCTGGGTGTGGAAGAAGTTCTCATAGTAAAGATTCATCTCCGGGGGCTCCTGGCCGATGCTGGGGAACTGGGGGCTGCATCGCGGTGGCGAGGATGCCGGGAGGTCGAAGGAGCTCATGCTGGGGCTGGGTTCGGGTAGCCACCTGCTGCACCTGTGCTCACTGGAGCTGTCCCTGACAGGTGTTCAGCTGGCCCTGGCCTCCTGTGACTTATACCCGGAGGGCTTGGCTGGGTGGCCCCACCCAGGGGCGGCCACCTGCCAGCAGGTCCGGGCCAGGACCCGCCCCCCTCTTTTCCCTGCTGGCTGTGGCCTAGGTCTCCACTAATGATACACTAAAGGAGACTTATTACAGCGGATACCCCAAATGACAAGGGTTCCCTTCATTTCTTCTCTCTGCTTACTTTCCTACCATCCCAGGTTACCCTTCTCTTTCCCTCTCCTTTTCCTTCTCTCCTCACTTTCCATCTCTTTCCCCCGTCTTCTCTACAGCTTATTCTGTTTCTTTCTTTGGTTTTCATATTTGTTTCCCTTCTCTATGCCTGGTTCTGTCTCTGGCTCCCACTCCCTCTTGCTCCCCACCCCCACCCCTCGTTTCTCCTCTCACCCCCGCCCCTCATTCTCTAACCAATGCCCCGCCCCCACTCCCATGTAGCAACAGCTCCTGCTTTGGTGTTTGGAAGGGAAGATGCATTTTCTGGAGTTGCCAAGGGATCCCCCAGCCCCCGGAGAGTCAGAGAGGAGCTTGGCCTCTGGAGAGGACTCATGCCGCCCCCCCCCCCCTCCTCTCTCCCCCCATCTCCTCTCTCTCTCTCTCTCTCTCTCTCACACACACACACACACACACACACACACACACACACACTGCAGGCAGACAGAAGGTAGTGGGAAGGCTACTGTGGACATGGCCTGGGGATCCACCAAGATGAGCAGCAGACTTCTTAAAAAGATCATCAATAGGGAGAGGATGGGAATTGGATTTTAGGGAGAAATGAGAAAGAACATCCATGATTCAAGTTTATTTCTAGCTCTAAGGCACAGAAGTCTCCTAGCTCCTCCGTTGATCTAATGTCTGTGGAAGTCCTTGTGCAGAGGCCCCTGGCACCGAGGGAGCTGGGGCAATGCAAGTGCCCCCAGCTGCCCATGCTCTGCCCCTGTCTTTCAGCTTCAAAGACAATGCTTACAACCAAGCCTCGTTTCCCTTTGCTGCTCAGCCAGGGCCAGTTTCCTCGTGGTTCTATTGTAGATCTGGCTTGAAGATGCCTTGCTCAGCCTCTCTCTCTCGCTGCTTTAACACACATCAGGCTCTGAGCTTGCGAAGTGGCTAGAGGTCTCCTCATGGGGCAGACAGTTCTTTTCTGATGAGGTTCTAGAAACACCTAAACCATCTCTCTGATGGAACAGGTGGAGAAAACTTGATGCAAGCTGTCTCTAATGCCTCCTGTGGCCTTCCAGCTCTGCTTCCTTCTCCTGACCTCTCCTCACTTCCTCTGGATGCCATGTTTCTTTGAGGCCGAAGAGAGGGGTGCCACCAAGAGAGGTTGCTTGCCTAGGACTTCTCACTCTGATCTCCTGGACGGTTGTGCCAGGTCACATGAGGAAAGTGACTACCACAGAACTGCTTTCATTTGTAATGTTTGGATGCCTGGTGAGAGGGTTTCTCTGGATTCCAGGAGCCACCTGTCCCCATCATGGACAGTCAGGGAAAGGGCTTCCCTAACAGGGTCTAAACTTTATACTCTAAAAGCTCCCTGAGGTTCAAAATAAGCAAACTTGGCATGTTTTTTCAGAACACATTTCTGTTTAATCTCCTACCTAGGAAGCCTTAGCTAGCTGACAGTGGAGCCCGGATTATCAAAATACACCCCATGGGAGCCCAGCAACATGGATGAAAAGCTGTACAATTAACCTTTTTCAGTGTTCATTTTCCAGAACTAAGAGGTGGTGCAGGATCACCTCCATGGAGTTGCTTATTCCATCACCATAGCAAACCAGAGCTAGCAAATGGCCAGCAACGAGGGCTTGGTTAGTTAAATAGCACCTCCTCCAAATGATGTGGCCTTACGCAGTTATGAATTATAGATTGTGAAAGAACAATTAAATATTAGTGGAGTGGAAAGATGGCTGTGTTTAAATGAAACTTGGAGAAATGGGCTTTAAGACCATGTTTAAAAAAAAATAAAACCATACTTATTTTCATATATACACACAAATACAAGATACAGAAACATAAAGATGAATTTTACGGATGGAGATTGTTTTGTTGTGTAGTTTCTAATTTAAGTGACTGGAGAAGCAAGCATGCTATTGCTTTGCTTTGAGGGTGAACGTAAAAGGTAAAAAATAAGGAGTCTATAGGCATGGCCCAGCAGTTGAGAGTGTTTACTGATCTCCAGAGGGCCCTAGTTCAGTTCCCAGCACCCACACTGGGCAACTCATGACCACCTGTAACTCCAGCTCTGCAAAATCCGATGCCCTCTTCAGGTCTCTATGGGCAACTGTGTGCATGCATGTACACACACACACACACACACACACACACACACACACACCCATAAAGAAGCAGTGTTAGAGTCACAGCAAACTCACCTGCCAATCCTAGCTCCCTCAGGGTGGTCATTACCAAGTGATTTAACTCTTCTCATCCTCAATTTTCTCAGGTGAAAATGGGGGAAAGGCCAGTACTTAACTCACAACTACGTTGTGAAGTAAATCATTTCATATGGCACAGAGCGGCAATGATGGATTTTATACTGTGGTCTCTATGGACTTGATAGACACAATCGGGCCCTCCCGGAGCTTACGCCTTGTGGGCTAATTGATGGCTTTTGACAGCCAAAGGCCAAGGGAAGAGGGACAGAATTACAATAAAAGGAATGGTGGGGGACATGTTCTGTGTCACAGATCACATAGCCAGACTCTGATAGTGGCAGATGATGGGGCTCCCCTTAGGGGTCTCCTAACTGGGAGACATTTTTAGAGACATGCACACCCAAGTCTCCTGAGTTACACATGACTCTGGTTTCTTTTCCCCAGGAGGTCCAAGAAAACCTGGCTGGGTGTAGGAGGCCTTGTCTGGCACCCGGATGGCAGAGGATGGGAACCTTGGTCCCTGTGCATCATCACAGGGTGAGCCCTTAGACCAGGGGGATCCAGTGTAGGTTTTCATGAACCCTGGCTCAGGCACTGCGGATAGACAGACAGCAGGAACTGCCTGGCCAAGCTTGGGACTTCTGGGGGAAAAAAATCAAACATCTCATTTGTGGAAGAAGTGAAGTCATTTTATATCTTTTAAAAATTCCCAGAAGTGAAATTCAAATCTGAGGAAACATGTTCTGGTTAATCAGACAGACAGGCAGACAAACACATAACTAAAAGATCTGAGTAGGTCTGAGCCATCCCAGGGAAGGCTACAGCAGCAGTGGATTTAATGCAGTACAGAGAGACACCTTCTCGAGTGAGAGCAGTCACGTGTTCTGAGCCCCACGTGTCATACGGGGACGAGACAATCGGGCATCACATACCTAGGCTTGGAGACTGAACCTGGCTTTGCCACGGGTAGTTGTGTGGTCTCGGCCAAGTTTCCTAATCTTACAAGGCCTCACTTTGTTTATCTATAATGCAGAGACACAAATAGTATCCTCCTCAAGGCAAGTGAGGAGAAGATTATGTGATACCCATAAAGCTTAGAGCCTGGAAGCAGTCAGAGGGGCCGACATGAGAAGGACAATGCCTGCTCCCAGAGGCCAGGCACTGACAGGCGGGTGGCTCTGGGCAGAAGGCCTGGCATTGTATCTTCTTCTGTTTGCTTTGGCCATTTGGGAGGGATGCCCCTGGAGGGAAGGAGGAAGGACCTGTCACGATTTCTGATGTGTGTTCCCAGCATTCAACTGCTGTCTTTACTGGTCCAGAAGCCGGGGTTACCTCACGCTCTGCAGAAAGGGCCAGCTCACAGATGCCTGCCCAGACTAGCTGGCCAGGGGAAGTCACAGCTGGCCTTGACTTTGAGAGGTAGACCATCATCATCTTGCATGGTGTCAATTCATCATGGGCGCCTCTAATATGAATTTTCATAAACAATGGTTCACGTAGTTCTGTGGACCATATTGTGAAGTGAAGATTCTGTTTTCTTGCCCAGAGCCGGGGACAAAGGCACAGGGCAGGTGAATCACCACAAAGACAGAGAACAGGTGAGAAGTGACTCGGCTGCCTGCCGTGCCCTGGGACTGAAGCGGACCACACACGGCACATTCAGGGAGAAGAGAAGCCAGGCCTTGTCACTGGGCTTTGAGTTTCCCTCTTACCTGGACCCCTAAGACGCTACTATACCTCAGATTGTAGACTAATGAGTCTTCATCGTTAAAGGGAAAATCCAACTGTCTCTGAGCGTTGCTTCACGGACTACACAGTGGGCAGGCAGACACAGTAAAACCCAGTTCTCATTTGAGATGCAGGAGATCCCACCAGCTGTGGCGATCCCACCAGCAGGGGCTCATGGACCTCACCTGTCCTGTGCATTTGCTTTTGATGGGGGCTCCATGGGCTTGTCCTCCTCTCTACACATGAAACCCAAATAGCTAGGCTTTGTGGAGCTTCTTGCTGTAGAAATGGGTTGTGATGGGGATCAGGGCAGGGACTAGTTTAAAGCTATTGCATTATAGTTTTTCTCATCTGCAAGATGGGGATGAGAGTCTTCTTGCTGCATACCTTCTCTCTAGGAAGGGCTACCCATAAGGACAATCAGCCCCTACCTGGTTCTCTTACTCTGCCTCGCCAGCAACATTCACAAGAGCATGTTTTGAGTTGCTTGGGGACTTGACACAGGGATCTGATGTCCGTGCCCCAGGGAGAGGTTGGTAGAAGTCGAGCTGGGGTGTTCCCATGCTGAGGGTGATCTTGGTGCTATCTATGCTTTTCGGCAGCTGCAGAGTTTAGGAAGAAACATAGGTCAATACTGCCCTCTGGCGGTCTTCTCTTTAAAAGCAGGAAAAAGGGAGATGCTGGAATGTGAGTTCCCGGCCAGACCAATGGTTTAAGTAAGGGCAGGAGACACAAGTTTAAGTGTCAAGTCAAGTGTAGTGCTCCCAGGACACAACAAAGAACTTTTTAGGAAGGAGGCA